TGAGAGAGAGAGAGAGAGAGAGAGAGAGAGAGAGTCGTACCTTAACACAAACGCCATAGTTCCTCCTCCGCATGCTGCCAAGATTGTAGTGGCAGCTGACCTACAACAGTTTCAACAAAATTAATTCGAAATTCATTTCCATTACCAAGTATTTTACGGAAGCCGAAGGGTGCCAACTTCAGATTATTTTTCTCTTCTTTTCTCACAGTTGAGAGTTAGAACACACTTCTCGGGTAGTACATTCAATTTAGCTAGCAGCTGAGAGTTAAGGGGAAACTGGTGGCATTTATCGATTTCCGTAGAACTCCAAAATCCAAAACCAAGCATGCATTCAACGGGTTTATCACACTATGTTTTTAAGTGTAGGTCCTGAACGGTTTTAAGCTCATATCATTGCTGTCTTTAAGAGTTAAATATATGGTCCAGATATGTATCGCAAACCGAGCAAAGACATTTTAGTACCGCTACATTGTACATGTAACACCTAGTGTCCAAGCTCAATTGTTTGTTTCTTGACAAAATTAACACATTTCACATTGTTTAATCAATTTGAGGAACTTGAAAGACTCGTCACCGAACATCGTTTTGATTGTCTAAATTTTATATTATGACGAATATAAAATTAAGGCAATCAAAACGATGTTCGGTGACGAGTCTTTCAAGTTCCTCAAAATGATTAAACAATGTGAAATGTGTTAATTTTGTCAAGAAACAAACAATTGAGCTTGGACACTAGGTGTTGCATGTACAATGTAGCGGTACGCCTGGTTTAAGAAAATTACAAAATATAAATATTGTTTGAGCGCATGTTTTTTAGCTTTAAACTTGCTTCGTGGATTTCTGGCAAGGTATCGAACGGAACATTAGGTTGCCGTATAGGATTACGTCATAATAGCTAACCTTGTCACAACGAACCTACCTGGCTGCTAGTTTCCATTTCCCACCGCTGATGCCAAACGTACTGCCACAATTAAAGCCGAGCCAGCCCCACCTGTAAATGGTTGGATGAGAGTCGGGGGAACATTATACTTATTCATCCGTAGTACATATATATAACACAGTGCATTGTCCTTGTTGTAGTGAAATATGTTTCTGTAACACAAAGTCATACATATTTCATAATATTGATATATGTATATCATAATAGCGCACCAATATGGATGATCAGGCGAACGCGCCGTTGTTTCATACACAAACATTTGTATCCTATTTTCCTTCGGCAGCTGTTGAGAGTTTGACGATAGTGAATATTTACTTAGTTATTACACGATATGAACTTAAGGTTAATTATATCTGAAAAAAAATTCAACTCGTGTACGACCTGACACACAAAGCACAATACATGTACTGTATACCGGGATTGTTTCGCCAAGTCAAACATTCGCACTTCGCCAATAAAATTAATTTTCGCCCAGTGCCAATTTCGCCCTTTACATTCAATTACTATATATATATAATGCTGTTTACTTATATTGTCTGCAATGGAAAATTCTCCCTCATCACGGTGGGCGAAAAAGGCGAAAATTAAATTGCAGCGAAAATTTTCCCGGTAAACATTATTTACCATTTGACTTCGTTTCGACGTCAACTTCGCATTAGGCCCATACATTTATATAGATATATAAGTATACGATAAAATAAGCAAATTCAGCCTTCTGAAATACGTACCAAAGTATAAACAGTCCTAGAAGGGCGTTGACAGAATTACCATGATGGACAGTTCCGCCTTCTTTCGAAAATCGTCCATAACGAGGCTTCACCATGATGGCGGCAATCAAAGCTGTAGTTCCTCCCACTAGGTGAACAGGACCCACCCCTGCCACGTCAACGACGTGGAGCCTCTTGAGCCAGCCATTGGGCGCCCAGATCCAGTGGGCAGGGAAGCTGTATACTAAGGTGTTCAGGAGGCAAAAGACTATGTAAGCCGTAAGCTTCGTCCGCTCCGCCACGGCACCTTATTTCAAAAACAGAAAATCGGGAGTATGAAACAGGCTCAACACATAAACAATGCTATAAACCCAGACGCCAGCATGCGCAATTCACCTTTTTCCACGTGTGCAAAACCGGAAGTCGTCAAAGACTTTCAATTAAGATTATGATTGGGGTTGGAACTGTCAACTATGAAATGTTGAGTAGGATATCAGAATAAACTACAAGTTTTCTTTCAGAGCATACTGTGATATTTGTCTGATCCAACCACCGGGTATCCGACATTCTGTCCTTTCCAACACCATAACAATGGTCATGTACTTTGAGACCGTTGCTTGGAAGATAAGAGAAATAGAGATGGAAGCGAGAGAAGATTAAATATAAGTCCCAAATGTGGAAATTTTGGGGATCAGATTTTTTTCCCCCAGTGTCACTTAAGCAAAACAACAACAGAAGAAAACTGCCATTTCTACAGGGCCCCTTCACTATACTAGCACTTCGTAAGCACATGCCAAGTGATGAAATAGGTCGATTGAGTTTTTCCCAAACTTGCAGAGAAATATACCTAATTTATCTGATCAACATATATTATATAATGTTCAACATAGTGTCACATTAGAAATGCTTTACATCAGAGTCAAATAACGGTACAGAGACCAACAGTAGTGTACCTGATACGATTGTAGTGGCTGTGGTACAAAAAGACGCCTGGAATATAAACTTGGAGAAAACCGTTCCCATGTGCTTCTCGTCTGCAACATAAAAAGGAAAACTAGCTTTTTTTATTTCAGGATGATCTAACAGCAATCTTTGCATCAATGTTTCATGATGAGATTAGGTGGAATGTTAGCTTAAAAAATCGCTGTTGGCAGCTTCCGTCCAACTTACCTTACCCCGTTTACGTTTAATGTTATTCTTTTTTAGGGAAAATATATAAATCAAGATATGTAAGACATTAGCCAATATTCGTGAAGCCATGATTCTTACGCTCAAACTCAGATTGTCAAGCGCAAATCATTGCTTCAAATATAGATTAGCAAAAACATCATACTTTGTCTATGACTTGGAAGGATTTTGTGGAGACTAAAAGCTGGATATCGTTCTTAATGTTTACGTTTGACGGTTTGACCTTTTAACATGGTTTAAGTGAGTGAGAAGAAAGACGGCTCGAGCACTGAATCAATGAGCATAAGACCGTTTTCACGAATACAATTTAATTTTACATTTTAAATTGCAAAACATATTGATTCTCATTTCAGATATTCAAAATAGCAAGACAATATAAGTGTTAAACACAGAGCAATGTTTTGATATTTTTGCTGATGACATTAGATCCTTTGATTATGTTACTATACTTGCCTGGATTCAAGAAGAAGGAACCGAACCCCGAGAAGCCGTTGGAGCCGGGCGAGTCCCCGAAGGTCAGACCGTATCCTATGGCCCAATAGGTCAGTCCTCCAAATACAACGTCCACCACATTCTTAACCATTATGTTCACCTCATTCTTTCGGCTGGCCATCCCGCTCTCCAACAGTCCGAAACCTGCAAAACCATCCAAATATGATCACGTTCTTGCAAACAAAACCATCCTCTATGTTAAAAACATTCTCATTAGCGTACTCAAACAGACCAAAACCTAGACAGATGTGCCACGTCTGGTAATGTTCTGCATATGGTGAATTGTGAGGATGTTAACCAAACTTCATGATGAATTGTGATGACGTTAACCTGAATGTATGTTGAGCTGAAAAGACGTTTACCTGACTACAAAATGATAGGTTGATATTGCACCTACCTTTGTAATTGAATGGTCAACTCGGGAATATTGTTTCTGATTGTATAGTGACATGTGAAGACGTTTACCTGACTGTTTGGTGACGTGTGAAGACGTTTATCTGACTGTATGGTGACGTGTAAAGACGTTTATCTGACTGTACGGTAACGTGTTAAGACGTTTATCTGACTGTACGGTGACGCGTGAAGACGTTCACCTGACTGTATGGTGACGTGTGAAGACGTTTATCTAACTATATGGTGATGTGTGAAGGCGTTTATCTGACTGTATGGTGACGTGTGAAGACATTAACCTGACTGTGTGGTGACGTGTGAAGACGTTTATCTGAATGTACAGTGATGGGTGAAGACGTTAATCTGACTGTATGGTGACGTGTGAAGATGTTAGTCCGACAGTATGGTGACGTGTGAAGACGTTTATCTGACTATATCGTGACGCGTGAAGACGTTTATCTGAATGTATGGTGACGTGTGAAGACATTTTCATGACTGTGTGGTGACGTGTTAAGGCGTTTATCTTAATGTACAGTGATGGGTGAAGACGTTCACCTGACTGTATGGTGACGTGTGAAGACGTTCATCTGACTGAATGGTGACGTGTGAAGACGTTTATCTGACTGTATGGTGACGTGTGAAGACGTTTATCTGACTGTATGGTGACGTGTGAAGACGTTAACCTGACTGTATGGTGACGTGTGAAGACGTTTATCTGACTGTATGGTGACGTGTGAAGACGTTTATCTGACTGTATGTTGACGTGTGTAGACGTTTATTTGACTGTACGGTAACGTATGAAGACGTTCATCTGACTGTACGGTGACGCGTGAAGACGTTCACCTGACTGAATGTTGACATGTGAAGACGTTTTCTGCATATGGTGGATTGTGAGGATGTTAACCAAACTTCATGATGAATTGTGATGACGTTAACCTGAATATATGTTGAGCTGCAAAGACGTTTACCTGACGGTATTTACACATGTGAAGACGTTTACCTGATTGTATGTTGACGTGTGAAGACATCTACATATGTACCTGATTGTACGGTAACGTGTGAAGATTATCTGACTGTATCATTTCGCGTGAAGACGTTTATCTTACTGCACGGTGACGTGTGAATACGTTCGCCTGACTGTATAGTGACGTGTGAAGCCATTTACCTGACTCAATGGTGACGTGTGAAGCCGTTTATCTTACTGTATGGTGACGTGGGAAGACGTTTACCTGACGCTATGGTGAAAGATTATCTGACTGTATCATTTCGCGTGAAGACGTTTATCTTACTGCATGGTGACGTGTGAAGATATTTACCTGAGTGTATGGTGACGTGTGAGGACATTTACATGACTGTATGGTGACGTGTTAAGACGTTTATCTGACTGTGCGGTGACGTGTGAAGACGTGCGCCTGACTGTATGGTGACGTGGGCAGACGTTTATCTGACTGTCTGGAGACGTGTGAAGACATTTATCTGACTATATCGTGACGCGTGAAGCCGTTATCGTGACGCGTGAAGACGTTTCCCTGACTGTATGCTGACGTGTGAAGACGTTTACCTGAAGGTATGGTGACAGTTTATCTGACTGTATTATGTCGCGTGAAGACGTTTATTTTACTGTATGGTGACGTGTAACGACGTTTATCTGACTGTATCGTGACGCGTGAAGACGTTCCCCTGACTGTATAGTGACGTGTGAAGCCATTTACATGACTGTATGTGACGTGTGAAGACATTAACCTGACTGTGTGGTGACGTGTGAAGACGTGCGCCTGACTGTATGGTGACGGGTGAAGACGTTCGCCTGGCTGTATAGTGACGTGTGAAGACATCTACATATGTACCTGATTGTACGGTAACGTGTGAAGATTATCTGACTGTATCATTTCGCGTGAAGACGTTCATCTGACCGTATTGTGACATGTGTAGACGTTTACCTGACTGTATTGTCACATATTAAGACGTTTCCTTGACTGTGTGGTGACGTCTGAAGATTATAGTGACGTGTGAATACGTTTATCTTACTGTATGGTGACGTGTGAAAACTGACGTGTGAAGACGTTCACCTGTGTGTGGTGACGTGTTAAGGCGTTTATCTTAATGTACAGTGATGGGTGAAGACGTTCACCTGTGTGTGGTGACGTGTTAAGGCGTTTATCTTAATGTACAGTGATGGGTGAAGACGTTAACCTGACTGTATGATGACGCGTTAAGCTGTTCACCTGACTGTATGGTGACGTGTGAAGACGTTAATCTTACTGTACGGTGACATGTGAAGACGTTTATCTGACTGTACGGTGACGTGTGAAGGCGTTCGCCTGACTGTATGGTGACGTGGGAAGACGTTTATCTGGCTGTACGGTGACGTGTGAAGACGTTCGCCTGACTGTATGGTGACGTGGGAAGACGTTTATCTGGCTGTACGGTGACGTGTGAAGACGTAACTATATGGTGATGTGTGAAGGCGTTTATCTGACTGTATGGTGACGTGTAACGACGTTTATCTGACTGTACGGTAAGGTGTTAAGAAGTTTATGTGACTGTACGGTGACGCGTGAAGACGTTCACCTGACTGAATGGTGACATTTGAAGACGTTTATCTGACTATGTCGTGACGCGTGAAGACGTTTGCCTGACTGTATGTTGACGTGTGAAGATGTTGATCCGACTGTATGATGACGTTTGAAGACGTTTACCTGACTGTATGTTGACGTGTGAAGATGTTGATCCGACTGTATGATGACGTTTGAAGACGTTTACCTGACTGTATGAGGACGCGTGAAGACGTTCACCTGACTGTATGATGAAGCGTTAAGCTGTTCACCTGACTGTATTGTGACATGTGAAGACGTTTACCTGACTATATGGTGACGTGTGAAAACATCTACAAGAATGTATGGTGACATGTGAAGACGTTCACCTGACTGTATGGTGACGTGGGAAGACGTTTATCTGGCTGTACGGTGACGTGTGAAGACGTAACTATATGGTGATGTGTGAAGGCGTTTATCTGACTGTACGGTGACCCGTGAAGACGTTCACCTGACTATATGGCGACGTGTGAAGACGTTCATCTGACTCAATGGTGACGTGTGAAGACGTTCATCTGACTCAATGGTGACGTGTGAAGACGTTTATCTTACTGTACGGTAACAAATGAAGACGTTTATCTGACTGTACGGTGACGTGTGAAGGCGTTCGCCTGACTGTATGGTGACGTGTGAGGACATCGACATATGGACCTGATTTTATAGTGACGTGTGAAGACGTTTATTTGACTATATTGTGACGTGTGAAGGCGTTTACCTGACTGTATTTACACATGTGAAGACGTTTCCCTGACTGTATGGTGACGTGTAACGACGTTTATCTGACTGTACGGAGACGCGTGAAGACGTTCACCTGACTGTATGATGACGCGTTAAGCTGTTTACCTGACTGTATGGTGACATGTGAAGACGTTTTTATGACTATTTTGCGACATGTGAAGACGTTAACTTACTGTACGGTAACATGTGAAGACGTTTACCTGACTGTATGGTGACATGTGAAGACGTTCACCTGACTGTATGATGACGCGTTAAGCTGTTCACCTGACTGTATGGTGACATGTGAAGACGTTTTTATGACTATTTGGCGACATGTGAAGACGTTAACTTACTGTACGGTAACATGTGAAGACGTTTACCTGACTGTATGCTGACGTGTGAAGACGTTTACCTGACGGTATGGTGACATGTGAAGTCGTTAACCTGACTGTATGATGACGCGTGAAGACGTTTACCTGACTGTATTGTTACATATGAAGACGTTTACTTGACTGTGTGGTGACGTCTGAAGATGTTAACCTGACGGTATGGTGACGTGTGAAGACGTTTTTCTGTCTCTATGGTGACTTGTGAAGACGTTGTGACGATATTTGCCTAACTGTATGGTGACTTGTTAAGATATTTACCTGACTGCATAGTGAAGATGATGAAGGAACTGGTTAATATCCAAGTAGCGTCATCAATCCAAGCCTCGAGATCATCTTCAGGGGACATGGTGGTGGTCACTGTGGTTGTCCAGCAGTTCGTCCCAGTGGTCAGTGTCCGGTTTTCAAGGGGACTGACCGTCGTCATGTTATCAAAAGCCATGTTTATCCTAACTTACGGGTCCGTCTTGTTCAGCAAAATCTAAAACATTTCACAGCGAAATATACCACAGTCTATTCCTGGTTATTACATAGATATACACAGAGACCAATATGTCATCCCTTACTAATCCTTGTATTAACGAAAACGTCAAGAATTGAAAATTTTCTGAACCTCTCGCCTATTAATTAGCGGTAGCACCGTGGTATATAGATTTAGCGATATGCTTGACAGGTTAGCCGTAGACAGAGAAAAGAGGTACCGACCAGTATCAAGCTGTTCTAAACTGACGCAGGCTTAACGAAATATAAACACATTTTTTGTTATTATAACCCTTTTCTTTAAGTCTTAAAACCATATCAAGTTGCATCGTTTTGCCTCGTGTGTTCGCTTATTATCGATACAAATATATTTTATCAGTGGAATTTAATATGATTTTTAAAAAAAGTGCAATAAATATTTTGTTGTCGTTTGGCATTAAGTATACCAGACTCTTTGCAGAGTGTTCGCTCAGCCGTAACCTTCTCAATAATTCAGTTTCACTTACCTTTTATCGACAAATAGACAAAACATCAATAAAAGCATATACACGTATATCACTCAACGGCGTTTGAACATATATATATTTGTAGCAATCTGGCCTGATGATTTTTACGTGGACACTGTTATTCATATTTTCACGAAAATTCAAGTCCTTCCAAATAGCTCTACGGAAGACGTGCACGCTTGTAATGTATAAAATAGCATATATTTTTTTTAAACTGACACGTTTATACTCAATTGCATGGAAAACAGAAGTTTTAACAAAAATAACTACAGTAGTTTGACGGTAGCGTACAGCGTCGGTTGTTTCTTAGAGTTTATATTTATCAGCTATGGTTACTGGATAAAGCTATACAGACATTGTCGTATAGGATAAACAATGTGCATTATTGATATGTTATATCCATACCTTATAAAATGGATGTTGTAGCGACAGTCTCCCACTCCAGCGCCGTATCGACTGGCTGACTGTAGGTTGCTTTTCAGCCTGATCTCAAATGCAGTCACTCTCCCATGATTGCGTTCATAATGATATACTGTCAAATGATTAATTATAAATAGGCGGGGAAGGGTGGATTTCATCAACACGATGTTGATGTGAGTCAGTGCAAATAAATATAACTGAAACGACTGTTTATTCTTCATTACATAACGGTATATGCGACAATGAACTTGGTTGAGCATTGTCAGTTTGCCTGAAATTAACATGTTTAAATTATGAATTATTTTATTTACGTTTCTTTCTCTTCTAAATACAGGACAAACATGTGTGGTTAGAAAGATTTTGACGATAACTGTTCCCATGTACAGATTGTGTTATCAGTTTCGATATATTTGTGGAAACATCAAAGATCGATTTATTTTTCTCTGCCTGCTATTAAGCTGGCCGTGCTTCTAGTCAACGCCTCCGGCTTCCAGATATCGGCAGATCAATGAAAGTGATATTGAAATTAACACGCGGGTTGAAACATACAGGTACAATGTACTAACGGAGGAGTCACGTGATGCAAACCACGCCTTGATTCTTTTCAAAGTAAATTAAACATGTGTATCAGTCGGCGCTAGATTCGAACATCGCATCACCAACCGAAGTGGCATTCATTCGAAAGTGGTGGGTTTTTTTTTTGTATAATCCATGTTTAATTGGAAAGCAAAGCACATGTATTCGAAACACTTTGTCGATTTGATCTTTTAGTTCTAGCTAGACCGGCTACCGGTCCCTAAGAATTTCTGCATTTTCCTACTACATGTAGCTTATCTCCCCCTAGTTTAGAACTTCTAGAATTAGACATCCAAGTGATCAAAATTATTAGAGTGAGGTTTTTTTTCTAAATAATTTAATATCTATATAATATTCTAGAGACGTGGACCAGTCTTCTTTTTTTTAAATGCACTGTCTTGTTTAAACATAGTGTGTGAAATCCATGTCTTTGTATTTCACGGCTGAAAAACTGGCTATATTAAGATTCACCAGGTACAAGTATATAATAAAACTGTCTGTATCATTATTGTTTTGTTTCATATATGTTTTATTAATTCATGAAATAATCACTCCGATTGGGCAACATGCATAGCCTATATATTTACCAGGCATGTACATGCATTGAGGCAGTTATGTCCCTTTGTTAAATATGGCGTAAGTCCAGACCTCTCGCATTACTTTGTATAACCCCTTTTTTCTTGAAAGTACAATCGCTTTCGACATCAGGGGATTTGGCTATAACATGTATCGTGCCAACAAGGTTTATTATATATTTCATGCCGCATTTTAATTTTAAATTTAAATTTTCGTTGGAATTTTCTCGGGTTAATTTTATCACTATACATTTGTGTTGGCTGGTTTTCGAGGTACATTGTAGGACAAGTTAATCGCATGGAATCGATTTTGATATGCCGTTTTCGTTTTTGCTTTAAAAATTAATGGCAGAGACATTTAATTTCCGAGATAACTCAACATATTTGCAAGTTATTCCACGTTAAAAGTATGAAAATATTGTCAGATATATCAGTTTATTATATTTCAGGATGTCCAATTTCATTTCAGTGGCGCAATAATTGTATATGTACATAATTTATGATATTGGTCACTTTTGAAGTGGTCGTTATCTGAACTACTGGTAAGTTAATGCATCTGTCATTTCACAGGTACTTAAGTAATATAACACATGGTTTCATAAAAGGTGGTTTGTTCATAACATGCCGTCTTTTTGCTTTGTTGCCAGCGAAAAGACCCAAAATGAAACCAAAATGAGTAAAAAATATATCGATTTGATTTTAAGCTTCTTCCTTTTTTACGCTGTGGTTTGGCGTTTTTCGTCTTAAGCATTGGCGGATTTTTGTATTTTTCGATGTGGTTTGGCGTTTTTCGCCTTTTCGCCTGGGCGGATTTTCGTGGGGTTTTTTAATCAAGCTTTTGCGCTTTTCAGTCTCTTCTTCATTTCGCTTTGTCGTTTGGTGTCTTTTCGCAGGAGACAACGAAAAAAGACAAACTGCCTTTTGTGGACCACTCACATGTGTTAATGTAAATTTGATCAAACATTACGCTTAATGGCATAATCAACGACATATCGGAGCAATCGGGATCAAATGGATGTTTAAACATTTAAAATTATTATGCCCTTTTCATTTTTTTTCGAGTCATGCTGACGATATTGACAAAATCAAATGTTCTCTGAGTTGGAAATCGATTACTTCACTCGGAACCCTCCGATTGTGCGTTGCTCCAAAAACTGACAACGCTTAAAGGCATTGTTCAGAATAGCCAACAATCTGCTTGCGTATATATAGACGTGAGTTCTATCTCAAAGAAACATTATATATTATTAATGTATACCCTGCCATGTCGCTTATTTGATAGGCTATTAAACAAAAGTGGAAATTTTGTGGCAAGTTTCAAGTACAGATTTATGCGTGGCGAATTGGGTAAGGTCAAATAAGTGCGAGTATGTGACGTTATCGACATATGTGGTGTTACGTTGTCTAGAGAAGCACGTGGACAGACTGAGAATAGGTCTAAGATAATTAAGTCAATGGCTGGTGACAATACTCATGTTGAAGAAATCTACAAGAAAAAATGGTAATTTTTATTTTCTCAAATTGCAATTTACGTATTTATTTTAATGTGTACCTCCGTGATAGATTAGGTGTAATACAGTAATTCTAAATCAGTGACGCTTGTATAAGTTACAATAATTATCTTTCGTTAAACTGACATTCTTCTTTCAAGCAAAACTTTTAAAAAGCGATATATTGATATCCGTTGGCGATATAGAGGGTGTTAAATGATATAAGTGGCACTATTGACTGTACCTCCTTAGTCTTGTTACTTTCAAACGTGCAGTTCACACGGATTTGATTTGCATACGTAGGTCGTCAAAAGTCTTATTACAAATGCCAGGACAATGCACTACCACCGATGTGATCGATAGAAACTTTAATGATTTAAAAACAGAAATAATCCAGATACTTTATAACAAAATGCATCAATCTGTGGTTCTGTTCAATGCCATACAAATCGTTATTATGCTTCTCAATTTCATGTGCCTGCTAGCTAACTGTCAACAGCTTTTAAGGTCACCTTTTCCTGTCTTCGTAACAATTCGTTTATATGTGTTGCTCGATATATCGCCAAACCCATTTAAATGCCAACATTTTGGTGGCAAAGAGTAGCAGTATAACACGGTTTTACAATACAATATTTACACCGGTATAATGTATTGTGATACGATTCCCATGTTTCGTTAACCTCAGGTACGACCTTGGATCTGCAAGTGAACTTCCCGTAGATGAAGGTTCTTTTTCCAATTTACTTCCGGTACGATGGACGAACTTCCAGTTTCCAAATCTAATTCCGACAATATAGAAGAATTTCCAACGACCATATCTTCATATACCTCTGGTGCTACAGGAGAAAGCCCAACGATCAAATCTACATCCGGTTATAAGCAAGTATGTTCTGAGACCATACCTACTTCCGGTATGATGGAAGATTATATGGTCACGTGTTTGGCGTGTGGAAAGATAGCCACACATCAGGTTATACTAGACTGCTTTCACTCCCTTTGCGCCAATTGCTGTGACGAAGGGTCTCAAAGTAAAACAATATCTCCAAATTCTGGCATGCCCGTCGCGGATTCCGATATGTCTATTTCGGACATTGAACATGTCTGCAAAACGGACAAAACAATTGTGTTTACAGGTATATTAGTTGTCCTTTTGTGGACATGTCTCATATTTGAATAATCAGTGCAGCGGAAGAAAAGACAGCTTTCTCGAGCGCTACACTCAGTCTGTAATAGTTCCGGTGTCGATTGGGGGCGGATGTGGAGAGTGTAAACTAGTACTGAACACTGGTCAGTTCTGTCTTGACTGTCGTATGTCGCTCTGTGACAGTTGTTGCCGCCAGCACCTCCAGACGGGAGGAAATACTGCAAACCACACTATCACTCCATGTCCTTTGATCCTTGAGAAGGCGTTTAGCCGGATGAAGGAGCACACATCGACCTGTGTGACACACGGCGAAGAACTTCGATATTTCTGCATGAAATGCTCGGAGCTGGTGTGCATGCACTGTATCGTTGCCTCGCACCGGAAGCACTGGAAACTGAGGCTTTGCTTCACTTACGTTCGGACATACAGTGGATATCCAGTAAACTCCGACGTCATCACACAAAAACGCACCGATTGTCCGAAGCCCTACCACGTCATTACGAAAAAGAAGCCGAAACATTAAAACTTGAAACCAAATCTTTTTTTGAGGCACTTGTTAACAGAATACATGAAACTCAAAGAAATGTTTTGAAAGAAATAGATCGAAATCTCGAAGAGACAACGAAAAGAACGAGACCTAGCAGTGCTGAAGTGAGACAATCATGTATGGCGACTACCTCAGCGCATGCGCGTTTAAAAATTATCAACAGGTACGGGTCCGAAGGAGACATGCTTGACCTTTACTCGAGGATAAAAACCAGCAGCATGTGGTCTGCCGTGACCGTTATCGATACTGAGCGTATAGATGCATTTAGTGTACCCAACATGGAAATAGCCTTGGTCCAAATACAGCAAATTCTAGGTCAAATAAATGTCAAGGTCACTCATAAGGAATGTTCGACACTGTGAAAAGGTAATATTGAAACACGCACCCGGGGTTTCGAATTGTAAAATACCAATTTCAAAACTAAATGACAAACAAGATATTGCCCTGGGAAATTCGATGAAGAAAGGCCACGAAAATAAAGAAGATGATTGTGAGTGTAAAAGAGGATCACCGAAAGAAAATAACGGAGGTATAGAAGAAGAAAAGGAAGGAGAAGGAGGTTTACCTTATTATTTGAAAGACTGTGATCAAGGAGCAATGTGATTGTATCAATACGATTATGAGGAAACTTAAAACTTGGACAAGCCTCGAATGAGGATGGAGTAATTATCATATGCTTAAATACGCCGACGATACAGTCAAAACCTCGCGAACTTCTTTTTCAA